CCGCAGGGCGCGGGCGCCCGGTTGGAAAGGCGGCTGCGGGCCGGGCTCCCGCGATCCGGAGTGCCGGTCCGGAGAGTCGCCGCCCCCCGCCCGGTCCCGAACCCGAGTGTTACATAAAGTACTGGGCAGTCCGGACCCGGGGTCGCGCGATCGCCCAGGCCCTGTCTGCCTGGGCCCTCCCTTGGCTCTGGACCCGGCTCCGGGGCCGACTACGAGGGGCGCCGGCGCGGTGTGCCTGGCGGAGGGAGAAGGTGGAAGGGAGGATCGTAGTCGACTAGGTCGGTGCACGACTGGGCTGTGCTCGGTGGGCGCGAGCTGGGGCTCCGGCCCGAGAGGAGCGGGGCAGGTGAGGGACCTGCAGTCCTCCCGGAGACCCGGGCTGCCCCGAGTGCGAAGAGGCGGAGCCTACGTGCCCGCCGGGTCCTATCGGTTGTTGGGGAAACTTTGCTGCGAGGTCAGGGGGCTCTGTTTTGGACGTGGATGGTCACTCGGAGTTTACTCCTGTTTACAGAACTGCGCAGCAGGGAAACGGAAGAGTTGGGGGAGGTGGGAGGCCGTCGCTCAGGCCCGCACACCGAGCCCTGCCGGCGAAAGCGCCCCTGCGCGCTCTGTCCGAGCTGCAGCTTCGCAGCTCGGTTTATAGGAGAGTCATTAACATATTGCGGAACGTTCCGCCTCTGCCGCCCTGTGATTGGTCGCGGCGTCCCCCGTGGAATGTCCTTATCAGTGTGCTGCGCAGTCATTGGGGGACGGCCTGCATGGGGCGGGCCTGGCTCGGGGACGCGCTCCGGTCTGTGTTTCCGCTGCCTGCTATTCTCTCTGTGGCAGAGGGCCGGGCGGAGGGAGGAGGCGAGTTGATTTGAATGTCTTCGGGTCGGCCGTCCTCTGGCCTCGGATTGGCTCCTGCCGCTGCTGGGGCGGGCCATTCTCGCGACTCCTGAGGTTTGATTGGTTCTCTCCTGTTGTCTCCGCCCTCGCCGTCGTCGATTCACAGAGGCCTCGGGGCGGGGCGGAGCGCTCTTGGCGAGTCTCATAGGCTGCCGGGATCGCGGTCACTTTCCGGCCGCGGGGCCATGGCGGCAATGAACCCCGGGAGGCCGCTGCGATCGCCTTCTCGGCTCTGGCACCGCGCGGGCAGCTCCGGCCACTTGTCACATTTCCCCGAGGCGTGAGTGAGCGGGGAGGGTCCTGTCGGGACGCGGGTCGGTGTGTTTCGGTGCTTTTCTCCTAGAGACCCGCCGACGCGGCTCCCGCGCCGTGTGGACTGACCTTAGAATAAGCCCTTGCTTGCTCAGAGTTACTGTTGCAGGTGGAGCTTTTTGACGGTCGACAGTGCTTCGGGTGTAGAAGAGTCTGGAAGAACTTAGGGTTCGGTCGTTGTAAATAGAGCTTGTTGCCTGAGTCATTTTTCAAATGTTAGAAAAATACCCCCTTGGAAGCAGTGCCTCATTAGAAACTTTCGTAAGTTAAAATAGCTTTTAAAGAACAAGACAGACTAGATGGTACTGCGGGCCCATTTATTCACCACCTTTATTTTCGCTGATACTTTATGGTGGTCCAGCAGCACTCCGAAGTTCAGCTGCGTTGTTCTTGTCTGTTGCTTTCAGTGGTTTTATTGATTGAGTACTTTGCTTAGGGTAACTGCTATTGTGTGGGTCCCACAGTAACTTTGTGGTAAGTTTTTAATGGGATTTTTCTCCATAAGCTTCACCTAAAGCTGAAAGAAGCAGTTATTCAAATTTAATTTAGCAATAGATAGAATTGCTCTTCTATAAAATACCAGCATTATTTTTGAAACATGGCTGGGTGCAATGACACATGCCTGTAATCCCATTGGAGGCAAGATCAGCAACTCAAGGCCAGCTTTGTCTAACTTATTAACCACACTGGGTTACAAACAAAACAAAAGAAACCTGACTACTGGCTAAGCCATAGTTGAATCCACTTAAATAACACAACATTTGGATTGTTGTTCACTTACTATCGTTTTTTGATAAGGTTTCGCTGTGTGGCCTTAGCTGACCTGAAACTCCTAAAACTTCTAATGCCTGTGAATCTGGAATTTAAGGTATGTTCCATCATGCCAAAAAATGCATATTTTGGGTTAGCTTTGATAAGTCAGATCAGTTGATTTGTCTCTTTGGAGACTGGGACTGTTTTTCCTCCTGTGCTGTGGGATAGTGTCTTGTGATTCTTTCTGGAACCCTCCAGAACCTGAACATAGCCTTCCCTGGTACTTCCGTGACAGCCCTTGGTGATGTCTTGTAGAATTTTTGTTGTTATTTTTGTTTGTTTTGAGACAGTGTCTCCATATGTACTCCTGGCTGGCCTGTATAAGCCACACTGGCCTGGAATTCAAAGAGCTCTGCTGACCTCTGCCTGAGTTCCTGTTTACTGTCAGGAGAAAAGAGAGCAGAGTTTCTAGATAGCCCTTCTGATTTCCAGTGGTTGCCTTAAGAAATAGCAAAAGGGTCTCAAAAAAATCTGGTACTATTTGCTGTTTGAGGAAAATTGCTCAAGGACCTTTCTGTGAATATAATTAGACTTTGGTGCACAATGTTTAAATTGTCTAATCCTTTTATTTTTAAAGTGGCCAACGACTTTATTTGCTCATTTCTGGCATTTGAAGCGCTCTCTGACATCGTTGGCCTGAGATCCTTTGTAGTCTTGAAGCACTCACTCCTGCAGCCTCCCACTTTGTAGGGTTTTCCTCCGTCAGCTTTACAGGTGCCCACCCGTTCCCCTACTTTCCTGTTATCACCTCTGGTTGGGCTGATTTGATGCTCAGTGCAAAGGACCTCTATCTACTTGATGCAGAGACTCACCATACTTGGATATAAGCACACAAAGCTGGGTTTGGCACTTGTCTAAGGTTTGGTGGCTTTGTAAATCTGAGCTGTGGATGAGTGTGATCTCCCATACTTCTTGTAAAGCGATGTTGATACGCATTACAACTCAAGCAGGAACCCCTCCTGCGCTGTGGCCGTGGGTTACCACAGAGCCAAATCATGAAAACACCCAGGCTGGCTTCACACCCGCGTTTCTGCCTCAGTGCGGTGAGTCCTAGAATAGGGGCTGTATTGAGCCGAATTCTTTGCTTTCTCTTAGACTTCTTAACAGCTTTTATTTCTTGGGAAATTTCATTTCCCAAGTGATATTTTATAAGCATATAGACTTATTTTTAGCCTTCCTAAGAAGCTTAAATTTAATACTAGGGTTTAGTTCTCAAAATGGTAATATTGAGTACTCAGAGATAGGCAGGAAGATCTCTGTAGATTCCAGGGCACCCAAGGCTACACAAAGAGACTGTTTTAAAAACAGTATTATAAGCCGTAAATTCAATTATTACAAGTTGTAAAGTCAAATTACACTTTGAACTTTAAACAAAGTGACACTGTCACTTTGGTTTTAAAGCAAGGTTGTCTTGTGAGCAAAGCATTCTTGTTTTCAGTAATGCAGAGCCATGCTAGAGTGGTCCAAGAGGACAGATGCACAGGGCCTCTGCTGTAATCCCAGTCTTTAAGCCATAGGGTGCCATCGTCTAAGTCCACGCGCCTTCTCTGTAGAGTGTTCCAATCATTGAGATGCTCAGATGCAAGGGGGTGGGGAGTCCTGATCTCAAATGCCCAGAACACGGGTAGAAAGTGCCTGGCAGTTCCAGCTGAGGAGGTAGAGACAGGAGCTCGCTCCCTGCTCCAGAGTCAGTGAGACTCTGTCTCGTATAAGATGGAGAGCAAAACCCAAACATAAAGAAATACAGAATAAAAGCTCTTACGTTCTTTTATTTATTTACTTATTATGTATACAATATTCTGTTTGCGTGTATGCCTTCAGGCCAGAAGAGGGCACCAGACCTCATTACAGATGGTTGTGAGCCACCATGTGGTTGCCGGGAATTGAACTCAGGACCTTTGGAAGAGCAGGCAATGCTCTTAACCACTGAGCCATCTCTCCAGCCCCCAGCTCTAACATTCTTACAGAGATATTTGGACAGAAATTGTGAAAATACAACGGATCGGGAGAAACAGTTGAGACCGAAGCCCTTTACCTAAGCTTGAACTTTTTGTTCATCACCTCAGCTTTGCTGAGTGGGAGCCACGGCTCACACATGGCAAGAGTTTGACCCAGGGAACCGTGGCCCCTTGTGACTTTTGATTTAGTTGGCATTTGGGCTTCTTTCCCAGTGTTCCTCGCAATGTGTAACGCAGACTGTTTCTGTTGTAGAGATCCTGAAGGAGTTGGATGACTACTATGAGAAGTTCAAGCGGGAGACGGACGGCACCCAGAAGAGGCGGGTGCTGCACTGCATCCAGAGGGCCCTGATCCGCAGCCAGGAGCTCGGTGATGAGAAGATCCAGATCGTCAGTCAGATGGTGGAGCTGGTGGAGAACCGCACCAGGCAGGTGGACAGTCATGTGGAGCTCTTCGAAGCCCACCAGGACATCAGCGACAGCACTGGCAGCAGCGGCAAGGCTGGCCAGGACAAGTCCAAGAGTGAGACAATCGCTCAGGCAGACAAGCCGAATAACAAGCGGTCCCGGAGGCAGCGAAACAACGAGAATCGAGAGAATGCGTCTAATAATCACGACCACGATGACATCACCTCAGGAACGCCCAAGGAGAAGAAAGCAAAAACCTCAAAGAAGAAGAAACGCTCCAAGGCCAAAGCAGAGAGGGAAGCCTCTCCCGCAGACCTCCCCATCGACCCCAACGAGCCCACGTACTGTCTGTGCAATCAGGTCTCCTATGGAGAGATGATCGGCTGCGACAACGACGAGTGCCCCATCGAGTGGTTCCACTTCTCCTGCGTGGGGCTCAACCATAAACCAAAGGGCAAGTGGTACTGCCCCAAATGTCGGGGGGAGAACGAGAAAACGATGGACAAAGCCCTGGAGAAGTCCAAGAAAGAAAGGGCTTACAACAGGTAGTTTGTGGACGTTCACCCGTGAGAACAGACCCGCCGGTGTATTTGTGTCGCTCGCTGCCTTTGCGGAAGTCCGAGGACCGTCAGATGGGTGTTTTTAGAGGGGCTGGGATGGGTCCTCTCCTCGGGACGGCGGACACAGCCTGTGTCTTCATGGTGTACCCGTAACCAGACTGGGGCTGCAGATCAGCAGTTTAGAAGCTACAAAGAGAGGTTCCAATTAAACATGTCAGCAAATGTCAGACTGGTTTTTGGGGTTGGGGAGTGACTTGAAAGTAATCTAACAGATGTATAAAGAAGAGATTTAATTTGGCTGTTTTAACAAAAATGTTATGGTTTACAAAAAAAAAATCGCCAGGTTGCTGAAGTGCAGCAAGAGTGCTTCTCACTACCATAATGTATATCCACATGACAAGTTGGTCAAAGGTTTAAAGTCTAAATATTATTTTTTAAAAAGGTAAATGAGTAAATTTTACATGACATTTTATACATGGCCTATTCCCCAACTGGCCATTTTTAATGACTGGGTACATTTTTAGTAGGTCAGACACAAGTGGTCCAGGCAGTGGGTCCAAGTCTTGCCTTTGCTACCTAGGTCACAGTGTAGCCACCTTTAACTTATGAAGTGTATAAATGTACATTTCCCAGCCGCCTTGCCCCTGCTGTAGTATAACCGGAAGTGCAGCCTGGTGCTGTTGTGAAGCCAAGGTGCGCATCCTGCTGCGTGTGTGAGCTGTATAGATGTTGTGTCAAGAAATAAATGAAACTTGACCAGTTTGTTTCTTTAGCATTTAATTTTAACATATAAATAATTTTAAATTTTTTTGTCTTAAAAATTTATACACCAGCAGTTTAGACAAAGCCTTAAGCAAATTGTATAATACTGATCTCACATAATAAGGAAGTAGACATTATGTCCATGCCAGCAAATAAATGTCAAAAAAATACTTAGAGCAGAGGTTAGGAAGTGACTGTGTACTAGAGATCCAGCCCCACCATCTGTTTTGTGTGGCCTGTGAGCTAAGAATGGGCTCTGTGTTTCTAAGTGCTTTGAAAAAATCTCATTTCATGATACATGAAAGTCCTATGAATTCAGATTTGAGTGTCTATAAATAAAGACTCGTTGGAACACGGCCATGCTTATTTCCTTACGTGCTGTCTGTGGCTGCCTGTGAAGGACCGAGACTGGCTCTTGGCTGAGATCGCTGCTGACAGCTGATGTTGGCCACCCATCGATGGCACACGTCCTTAGCTACCCAAGTACGGGAGTGCAGATCTCTTCTCTGGGTGACAAGCGCACTGCGTGATCTGTCTGTGGGGCCTCTGGGCCAGGTCACTGTGAGTTACTGTGGTGCCTGTTGTTGGCAGTGTACAAATAGTCAGGTAGCTGTTTGTTGACTTGAGAATTTTTTTTACACTGGGCATAAATTCATTTTCTGGTTTTTCCGTTGTAGAGTTACTGTGTGAACACTGAGTCACAGCCAGTAATGCCTTAAACTTCAGCCCTGAGTTCATTGATGTTCACAGACACTTTTACTTTTTGGCAGAGTATTAGAACCTTTAGGAATAAATCTACTAGCCTGGCGGTGCTGGCACGCACCACTAATCCCAACACTCCAGAAGCAGGCCCATCTCTGTGAGTTCAAGGACAGCCAGGGCTGCAAAGAGAAACCCTGTCTCATAACAACAAAAATTTGAACCAGAGTTTAATAAATGATGAAGAAAGCTAAAATACATCATAAAAGGGGTCAGAGAAACGGCTCAGCAATTAAGAGCACTTGCTCTTACAGAAAACTCAGTTTTGATTCCCAGCACCCACATTGCTCATGGGAACCAATGCCTCCTTCTGACTTCATGGGCACCAGGCACACAAGAAGTAACCTACATTTATACAGGCAAACACTCAACACATAAACAAAAATACTCAATGCAGCAGGAGGCAGAGATCTCCGAGGTTGAGGCCAGCCTCGTCTATATAACAAATTCCAGTCCAGCCAGGGCTACACAGTGACACCCTGACTCAAAGGGAAAAACAAAAGAGGTAAAAACTCAATTGTTTGGGTGTTTCTGTTTTCTAATGAAGCCAGTATTGAAAGGAGTACATTTTCTTTATGTTTTGTTGTGGTAGGGGAGAGATAAGATAGTAGGGCACCTTGCTGTGTGTGGACCTCATCTGCCCTTCTGAGGGTTACTCCTAACACCGCTCAACTCCTAGCCCAAGTTCTTCTCTTTCACAATGCCTGCTTCATGTTAGCATGGCTTTGAGAAGTAAGGGCGATTACTCCAGTAAGACAGTGGCTAACGTAGCCAGGCATGCTGAGAGTCTTCTGATGGTGACCCATGTACCACCTTGTATGTGCACAAACCATGTCACCGCCTCACACAAAGTTGTGTTGTGTTTGCTGGCTTGAATCACCGATCAGTTCCAGCGGGCAGTGAGAAATCCTGACCTTGCTGTGTCAGGATTTAGGGTTGCAATCAGGGTGTAGGAAAGCTCTGCCACCCGGGCCGATACTGGAGGACAGGTTTCTTGGGACGTCTGCTACCAGCTGCTCAGTGAACACAGTTCAGACAGGTCTCCAGATGTTGATATTGTGGTTTTTGTTTTTCCATGAGTATGGGTGTTTTGGCTGACTGGTTGATGCCCACAGAGGCCAGAAGAGGGCATTGGGTCCCTTGGAATTGGAGTTAGAGGTGTATGTGAGCCACCGCTCCAGCTCCGCCTATTAAATTGAGCAAAGGAAATGATAAGTAAAGCAAGGTTTGAGGGTTCGGGAGGGCTGACACCCCAGGTGCTAGGAAGGGATGCTGCCTAGTTATAGGGTTTTATCCACGATGTTGGCTTCCGTCCAGCATTGGTGGAGCTGTGGCTGTTCTGATACCTGCTCACTGGCGCGCCATCTGTATGCCGGAAAGAGGAGGTGCTGAGCTGCGGTAGTGTTTCCTAGCGGATACTTCTGTAGTGCTGGGTGGTCTGTGGCCATCCCCAGCCTTTCTGATACGCAGAGTGAGGTTCAGTCTCTAACTTGAAGCTCTTGCCGCACTCAGCCTATCTGAGCTTCCTGCATTTCTGTCCCTGTCCTAACGCACGGCTGTTCATGCTTAAGTCTCAGGCTCCCCGGAGCCAAGGAGCTTGAGAGTTGATGGGGTCTGGGCTTTCCCGTCTGGAAACCTAGTCTGGGCCTGCTTTCCTGGGGCACAGTGTCTGCTCATCTAAACCTCTTGAATTTGTAGGAGGGGCTCAGGAAGGCCAGAAGTAGTTACACAGTGGGAGGAATAAAGAGGGCCTGTATGTGAATGGAAGTAGCCCCTAGGACTTTTTGAATATTACTATCTAGCTTTTGACTCACAGCAGGAGGGCGCTAAACCCCCACCCTTAGCTAGTGCTGGGATTTTAGGGTGTGCCTGCACGAGGAATGGAAAAGGAGAGTTCCCATCCTTCATTCTGTGCCTCATGTTTGCTGTTAACCTGATTCTGTTCAGGAAGATAGGGTAGTGTCTTCCCCCATTTAAAATCCTGGCTAAAGGAAGTTACCGGAAGTAACAGGTTGAATAACTGTAACATTCTATTAAAGTTTTTGTGGCCAGATGTGATACACACCTTTAGCCCCAGTACTCAGGAGGCAGAGGCAGGTGGATCTCTGGCGTTTAGGCCAGTCTACAGAATGTTCCAGGATAGCCAGGGCTGCAGAGAAACCCTGCTATGGGAAAGGAGAAAATCCTGTGGACTAATGGCTCAGAAGATAAAGGTCCTTGCCTCCAAGCCTGACCATCTGAGCTCACTCTTAATGAGCTAGGATTGGACTCGAGGGTTTTTTTGAGACGGGATTTATTTGTGTGGCCCTGGCTGTCCTGGATCTCACTATGTAAACAGTGATCAAAGGCATGTGCCACCATCACCCGGCTGAGATTGGACTCTCTCTTTTTTTAATTTTCAGGGTTTTTTTTAAATGTGTGAGTGCTCTGTGTGCCAGAAGAGGGCATCAGATCCTATTACAGATGGTGGTGAGCCACCCTGCGGCTGCTGGGAATTGAACTCAGGACCTATGAAAGAGCAGCCAGTGCTCTTAACCTCTGAGCCATCTGTCCACCTCTGAGGCTGGACTCTTAAAAGTTGTTTTGTTCTTCCTCCTCCACACTTGTGCCACGGCACATCTGCACAAGTAGTGCTCACCTGCGCACGCACACACAGTACGGTTTTTGGTGTTTGCTAAGCAAGCCAACTTTGGGTCAAAGCATGGAGCACTGCTGGTTAGTATGCCCACTAATTCACTCACTGTTGAGAGTTGGGGTGACACCGTGCGCTCGCTCATGCTGCAGGACAAGTGCCCTGCCACCACACGGTTCCTCCAGCTCCTGTTTACTTCCTGTCAGAGCTTTTCCTTCCGTTGCTCACGTTGACCTCAAACAGGTGATGCAAGTATTTTAGTTTTGTGGGCTACGGTCATGTGGGTTTTCGTTTTCAGTGTTAGATCCATTACATCCCTGTGGGCAAGAAGACCCAGTCCTGGTTAGGGCTTTTGTTTATTTTTGGGATAGGCCTGGAACTTGCTATGTAGCTGGGGCTGGCTTTAAGCCTGATCATCTTGCCTACACTTCCCTAGTGCTAGGATTACCATGTACCACCATGCCAACTTCTAGTGAGGGCTTCCATCTCAGGTGAGGGACCTGACTGGTTCAGGGCCTGTACAGCTTCAGTAGCATCTACTGCCTTGTTCCAGGTGGTCTGCTGGTCGGCTTTGATGCTGCTTGAGGGTTAATTGATCGAGCTAGGAGCTGTGACCAGCCCTGTGGAGTAGGAGCTACTGTGGGTTCTTCACTAAACTGAGGAAGATGGGAGAAACTCTGGGGCACAGGGTTGAAGGTTTTCCTGAGGGCTTTGTCATGGGGCTCTGGTAGCTGACACCTGGCACGCGTTTGTCCCTCATTCCATCCAACAACCACCACCACCCATCATCCTCCTCTCCCCCTCCCCCCTCAGAAGGAAAGGGGTGTGCGGATGCGTGCACTGCTGGGTGGTCTCCTGCAGCAAGCTCTCACCAGCCGGAAGAGGCAGACCTGGAGGGAGACTTGGGGTTGCTTGGTGTAGAGAGCAGTGTCCTGCAGAAGTGTTAGCTGCTGCTAAGAAAGCAGGATTTGCTGATATTACTTGGAACACTAATGTGCTGAGATGAGGGTTTTTTGTTTTGTTTTGAGACTGGGTCTCATTGTAGACCAGTAAGTATGGCCTCAAACACACACACACACACACATACACACACACACACACACACACCCTTGCCCCAGCCCCCCTGCTGTTATAGATAGCCACTACCACATCCAACTCTAATTAGCACAAAATTCAATATTTTTATCAAAGTTTTATAATAAAATGTAAAACTATTGCTTTAGAGTATAATTGAAGATGCTGAGAAATGATTTGTTTTAAGTTTGTTTTGTTCTTTTTTTAAATTCTTCAAGACAAGGTTTCTCTGTGTAGCCCTGGCTGTCCTGGAACTCTCTCTGTTGGCCAGGCTGACATGGAATGCCTGCCTCTGCCTCTTGAATGCTGGGATTAAAGGCATATACCACCATACTCGGTGAGAAATGATACATCCCAAATTACTCATTTAGTTTAAGTTGCTTGGTCATTGTTTCCGTTTCTGATGCATTTAAGCGTCTGATTGCGAGTAAGCGAAGAGGCCTCTTCCTGGGCATAGAGAAAATAAAGGAAAATACAAGAAGTCTCCGATTCCAGGCTGTCTCAGAGTTTCTATTGCTGTGAAGAGACACCATGACCACGGCAACTCTTATAAAAAAAATTTACTTGAGGTTTTAGAGATTTAGTCCATCATCGTCGTGACAGGAACGTGGTGGCTTATGAGCAGACATGGTGCTGGAGGAGAAACTAACGGTTCTGACAGCTGCTCCCACAGGCAGCAGTGGTCTGTATCCCATGACTTCGGCACATATAAGAGCTCAAAGGCCACCTCTGCAGGGACACACCTGCTCCAACAAGGCTACACCTCCCCAAACTTACAGAGTGTGTGTGTGTGTGTGTGTGTGTGTGTGTGTGTGTGTGTGTGTGTGTGTGTGTGTTGGAATGACTTACAGGCCGCAGCCCAACAATGGCTGGTGGTTCAGTCACTCGAGG